TGGTTTGCAAATGTGCACCAGCAGCAGCATTATTTTAAAATAGAAAGACGCTGAATGACTTTTTTAATGACAAGATGGGACACCGTTTGTGTTTTAGAGCTTCTTGAATTCTTTGTTTTTTGAAAGTTTTGTTTTTTTTTACTTGACGTGTATGCATTGTAAAATAACTTTAATCTGCTTTTTAGAGCAATCTGTAAGCCTCTACCTAGCTACTGTAGGTAGCTACACACTTCCTTAGAAAGAAGTGAAGATCATTCCAGACATTTAATAAAATACAATCAAAGCACTGGGCATGTTTTCAGTTTTATTTTAAAGTCAAAGCTACTACAGTACTATTACTTTTTTCTTTGTGGGTACTCTTCCTGTGCATCTGTGTCTAGCTTCCTGTTTCATATGTTCAGAAGTCTTAATACTACCCCAAATGTGTTACTATGCTGTTTTACTTTTTATGAAATGGCTAAGCACACCCCAGAATCAAGGTATTACCTTTTTTAGATCAATCTGCCTGAAAGCAGTTTTCTCAGACATGAAGTCTTGTATCTGTACCTTTCCGTCTCTCTCAGAACATCCCAAAGAGTTTTTGAGAATAATTATTTCAAGAAGAAATTGTAGAAAAATTCTAAAGACTGTTCAATAAGGGCTTGATTAGTTAGCTTGGCCACCAACGGGTTACCTGCTGCAAAGGTAGTGAGCTGTTATGCAAACTGTTGAAAATTCATTTTTTTCAGAGCCGACAAGTTTGTGTTGTTTATTTAGTGATTGATGTTTTGAAAATAAAATAAAATTTGGTACAGTCTGACTGATCACAAGTCTTCATATACTATCTTTATTAAAAGAAAGGCTTTTATGTACAGCATCCTGGTAACACCTTAAATGTATTTTTAATACAGAAGCACCACAGGTTTGGAATAGTTCACTGAGGAAAATTAGTTTTGAAACTGTGTAATTATCTTGTTTAAACTTTCATTCTATATCTATAGGATCTGTAAATATTGAGCATGTTTTTTAGAAGTGCTCATGTTTATGCATGTTTTGAATGCTGCTGCAATATGGTTCATGCTGCAACTTTGCACAAGCAACGGTTCATGTCCCATTTAGTCTTTCCACTCCAGTGCTTAGATAATTTTAGCCAAGTCTAAAAGAAGCACTAACACCATGCAAAGGAGAGATGACTACATTCTGATTGTTCTTCTAATGTAGATGTCACCTAAAAAAACAATCATAAGGTCACCTGGCCTTTGGTTTTATATTTCAAAGATGGTGGTCCTATGAATTCTGCTCAGTTTTTACATACTATATCATAAGGCCTGATAAATTTTGTGTTTTCCCAGAGGCTTGGTCTCTGACAACCCTACAAGCAGTACTGTTCATTAATTCAAAGCAAATGTATTATTTGTCTCTGTGACATAAGATGCCTTTCTTATTGTTTAAAATTTGGGAAATGCTGCCATAACCATAATTAAGATCCTAAGTCTTGCTGGGTCTTCTAGATTCAGGACTGCATTCTGGTTTTTAAAGTTGAATATGGTTTTATTTTTACTTGCTGGAATCTTGTACTTAACAGCTCAAGTCTGTGCAGTAGAGCTTTGCTGTCATCAGTCAGTTCAGTGGCCATAAAGACACAAAGTCAATACAGGCTAAGTACTGATTTTAGGTATGAAGCAGAAATGTAACATGTTTCAACACTGGATCTTTAATGTGAAGCAAAAGAAGAGAATAATATTCTGAATGAGAGCAGTTCTTCATTACACATCAATGGCTTAGCATTAAATCTCAGGAAGTGAAATGAGGTCACAAGATCTTTATTCTATACTATCAAAAGCCCTGCTTCAGTGATGATGCTGCACTGCTCTGTCATCACAAGATATGAGACTTGTGATTTTTAGAACAACAACAATGAATGCTAAACAATCCCAACAAGCTCAATAGCTCAGCAATCCCATTAGCTCAGAAACGCTGCAGAGTGCTGCACCCATAACCATGTCTAAAATGCCTAGAAAAATACAGCAATCTGTTTCATTCATTCATGCATTCTGTTCTCGTCTCTACTTCTTAATCAGGCTTTGGCTGAACTGCAGAAAGGATCATCAGGCATAGCTAAGAATGGCACTGACTGTCATACACTCTGATAACCCTTCTCTGACCTGAATTAACTGGTTCAAACAAGCCAAACAACTAGCTGAAACCCAGCATTTAACAAAGGTTTCCTGCTAGTTTCTAAGCAATTTTGTTCTACAATTACATAACAGAATGTTTAATAATAATAATCCACTTTATTTTATATAGCACCTTCCAAAGTAACTTCTGAAAGTGCTACACACTAAGAGAAAAAAAAGTTAACAAGGAAAACAGGCAACAAAATTAGCACAATTAAAACAAGCGTTTAGAAAGCAGAAGTTGTCAGGGGCTAACACAGGATCGATCAAGTAAAAGCCCTTCTGAAGATGAAGGTTTTGAGTCTGGTGGCAAATCACCAATGATCAGCTGAAGTGACAACTGGCAGCCACTAGTGTACCCCACAACCAGGGCTGGGAAACACCGATCTAGAACTCTGAAAGGTTACATTAAATGAGCCTAGTGTGGAACACAGAAGACAGAAGAGCAACAGGTCTGATTTGGCACCTAGTTTATAGTGGCTCTTACTTTTCTGCGGGAAAACAACCTTTTTCAATGGGTAACAGTCTATTCTGAGCGACCTTACCTGTGGTGTTCCATAGGGCTGTTTCATGCAGGCAATGCAATTCAGTCTCCTGTTCCACTGCTACACTGCTGAATCCCTAATACACTTAAGGATGCCTCCTGAATGTTTCTCTATGGGCTCCACAGCATGTGCATGGAAGAATCTCACATCCCTAGAAACTTGAATAGCCACAACTCTAGAAACATGTCTCTTAAGCTAATCATTTTTGGGAGAATGTCAGTTATTCTTATACTATACACTCCTTCCAGGACTTCCCTGGAATAGTGGATCTGCCTTCAATATGCTCATCTCATCTTTTTTGTAAATCTTCCAGCTTTCACGCTGATCTGATCTCACCATCTCAAGTTTGCAGTGTGATACCCTTGTCTTCCTCCCTTGAGATACTCTCTGTTAGTGACAGTGTTACCCTTGTCTCCTTGTGCCTGGATTGTTCTATTGGAATTGACTCCTGGTGATTCACATCAGCAGGATCCACTTGGTACAAACATACAGCAGCCAGTATTCTGCTTTCCAGGTTTTGTTAACCTATTAAGATCTTTCTTCCAATCCCTGGACAACATCGTGTTGTATTCTGTCTCATTTGTCTACACTGTATATTTCTTTAAATGACTTAAGTCCACGGAAACTGGTTATAATATCTGAGTCTACAAAACAGGAAAACTTTTTTTTATCTGCAAGGTACCAACAAAGAACTTTTCCTTAACCTTCTATTTTATTCAGTCACAAACTCTCTCTTTTCTGATGACTAGTTTTCCCTTGTTTTTAGACGTCTTTATGATTCCCTTCTGTGGAATAGTTCCGGCTATTCCGTGTTTCTATATTTTTCAAACGTGTAATTCAAAGTGACCTTTGTTTATGGTTTGTATAAAGCTACTAAATCGCCCGTGTTTAGCACATTAATCATATGCCCTTTTTTTGCACTGATCTACTCTGTAACATTTTTTTCTCAACCATTTTGATTTGGCATTTGTGAAAAATGCATTCTAAACGTTTTCAGAATCGTGAATTGGAACGACAAAGTCCTTAATAATCTTTGCTTCAGACTCCACACGAAAACAGCCCAGAGGACGAAAGGGGATATGAAATACATATATCATTTAAAATGGACAACAGGGCAGCCTTTTATAAGACATTCAGGCTATTTTTAGTTTATTGGTGTTGTTCCCGAATCATCTTGATTAGGTCTACGATCTGTAGACTACAAGTGTTTTTGTCAACCTCTATGGGTTTTCTATCTGAAACGTGGATTTCAGTTGCTGAAACAAATGACATGTTGGCGTTAAACATGTATGATATATGTGTTGCCTGACCATTCATTTTACCACGGTGTTATGTTGAACTGGAGCTCCAGTCAGCGTACAATTCGTGACCTGTTTCAGTCAACTTTTGCACCGCAACTTCGTGGTCTTTTGATGAATTGTTGATTCATTAACGGGTAAGGAGAGGGAAAAAAGGACAGGGCTCCAAGACTTGCTCATAAGTGATGTTGTGATGTTCATGCTTCACTCCTGGAATGTAGTTTGATATGACCGTGATAAAAACCATCACTGACTGAATTAAGGGCTTTTTTCTTTGAAAGGGTGACACCCCCTGCATTAGTCTTAAGGTACCAAGGGCACTCATTACCAACAGACACAACACTGCTCTTTTGTTCTGCTCCGACAATACACTTTTTCTCCACGTATGCTAGTTTTGTATTTATTTTTCTGGAGGGTGAGGGCAGGTGCTGCGCGTTGCGCGCTGTAACCACTCCCGGTCTTCGCAGCCGGTAGGGAAAAGCCCTGCGCTTCGCCTTGCTCGTAAATTTGTCAGAACCGCTATTTGTTTACAAACACTCCAGTCCGCGGCCATTCACAGAAAAAAAAAGGGGGTGGGGGGGCTTCCTGTGTCGTGCACGTCCGGGTCTTCCCCCTCCTCCTCCCCCACGGCCGCTGAGGCTGAGGGACCGAGGACCGTCACCTTGAGTCAGGCGTTTTCCCATCAAGACGCAGCACATGCCAGGAAGCTGTGTGGGTGTAGCCCACCCGGCCTCTCCCCAGCGGGGTTACTGCAGTTTACCGTAAAGCAAGTCCCCTGTTGGGAGCCCTCAGCGTGAGAGACCCAGACGGGATATTACTAGCCCTCCGTTCTTCATACTGGTCTATCTGCAGTACACGAACGCTGCCGTTTTGTCCCGGGCGGTGGTGGTGATCGGAGAAAGTGTAGAGCATGACCAATATGCTGGCCCTGTGCTTGAAGAAGGGTGCCCAGCTGGCCAGAGAGGTGCAATGTGGGAAAAGAATACGAAGCCATTCTGAAGGTTTTTCCCCAAAAAATATTTTTATCAGAAAGATATTTACAGTAGCTTTTACAATCTTTGAACCCACACTCTTATTTTCTGCATGTACTGTACTGTATGTTGGTCTCTTTCCCCACCCCCCACCCTCCCCCTTTTTTTTCTTTTGCTTCTTACTTAGAAAAAGATAAACTTTCATTCTCAAAACTGATCCAGTATAAAGTGTAGAATTCAGTTACAAAAAGTAGATTTTGCAAACAAGCTTTTACAATCTTCAAACCAGCACTCCTGTTTTCTGCATTTATGCTGGTCTCTTGCTGCACTTTTCCTTTATAGAAAGAAATAAACCTCTTCTTAAAACCGATGCAGTGTAAAGTGTAGATTTCAGTTATAAAAAGTAGATTTTGCAAAAAAAAAAGCTTTTACAATCTTCAAACCCACACTCCTGTTTTCTGCATTTATGCCAGTCTCGTTTGCCTTTTTTTTTTAAATTTTGTTTCTTATTTAGAAAAATATAAACCTTACTTCTTAAAACCAATCCTGTGTACAGTGTAGATTTCAGTTACAGAGAACAGATTTTGCAAACAAACCTCAGAGAAAATGTCACAGCCCTCATATGTTATATGATCCAAGGTTTCTATATATTCTATATGCTACAGTAGTCATGGGTGATTTACTGTACTTATTACAGCCACATCAGAATCAGTCTAATCTAGCTAAACCTGGCACATGCACTGTCGCAGGAAGACTCACAGGAAGGCACACGCTTTTTTAAAGGGATTCCCAACAGTCCACTGTCACGTCTATTACAAGTTTAAAAAACTTGGCCTATTTAGCAATTAAATTGATTTGTACATATCAAGCACGCTATCCCTCTTACTGGACTATAGCATGATGATCAAAGTAAGTGTTCATAACAATGTTTTTTAACACATTCTGTAACTGCTCAGTTGCGGCTGTTGTATGACTTTAAACTTCCATTTAGCGTAATACAAAACACATGGGTTAGGACATCGTGGCATATAAACTGATAGACTAACACATAAACGGTCCATAAACAAAATATTCTATATACAATATATCCTATATATATAAAATCCAGATTGTCAAAAGACCGTCCTGTCTTCATCACTGATTGAAAAAGACCATTGAACACTACGGGCCAAACGATGGCCAGAGACATCCTAATGGGTTCTGACATTTTTTTACAAATAATCACAAGTCCCTGCAAATTATCATGTGCTTCTCGAGCTTAAAGAATACCAATATTACCAGGCCCTGAGGATACATCGAAACAACCGAAGAACATACAGCAATACACAACACATTATTCAAAAAACACATAGGAAAATATTCAAAGAACGCATGAGGATATTGTGTCCCATAACTGACTTCCCTCGATTAGTTGAAGAAAAAGTCTTTCTAGCTTGAAACAGAGGGATGGCCGGCAAGTCCTACAGTCTCTCCTCTCGCCCATGTGTCCAGGGATAGGTCTCCTCTAATGCATTCATGGGACAGGAACAAGTTTTCATGCTCAAGGCTCTGCTGTTTTGTCAGTTTTGTGTCAGCTCCAGAACTGTGCAGTTTTCATTCCCACCCCCCCCCGCCCCTCCCCCCCGCCTCGCAACGTCGGCACAAGCGAAATCCCTTCCCGGGATTCGCTGGTCGCTCGGATTCAAAGTTCGCCGCGCTAGGAACAGCGTTCGTCTCCGGAGGAAAAGCGGTCCAGGAGGGCGCGGGGCTCACTCCTGTGGGGAGCTGTGTGGAATGACCCTCTGGCACGCCTCAGGGGAAGAGACGTGATCTGGGATCTCGTATCCTCGGAGGTAGTGGCTGGTGTTTGGCTGAGCGAAATAGAAGAGCTGTCGGGCGAACATGGGTTCCACCTGCAAAAAGCGAAGCAGAGAAGTCCCGTTTTAATTTTAAGTTGGATGTTTTACCTGCACGAAGAAGGAACGCGAGTCATTTAGCGGGGAGACTTGAAACCTAATGCGAAATACTGTTTTGACATGCAAGATGAGTAATCCTGAATAAAAATAAGAACAACGCAAAAATGACTACTCGGTATAGGCCAACTGTCAAGTGGGGAAAAAACCAAAACACACAAAAAACGTTTGCTGTACAGAGCATGTACAGTTCAAATGTAATCCTATAATGCACATACATAGAAAGAGATAGCCATGTTTGTCAGCATCAATCCAAGCAGATAACATTGAAACACCACAGGAACTGTAGGAATATTTGAGAGGGAATTCTCCTAGGCAGGGTACAGTCTTAACAAATTACACCTGATTCTATTTTAGTCATACTCCATCACTTCTCTGTAGAAAATACTTAATTGAGATTTAGAGCTAAAAAGACTCTTAGCAAAGGTCACTGGAAAACGGTTGTAAACCTACAAGGCAAGCTCTGGTAAAACTGAACTGATCTGTAAATCATGATACACACTGCTGGCAACCATGCTAAACTAGTGGGCAAGCACAGTATCATGGGGAATGGACAGGGTCAAGGACACAGCTGCATTGCACATTTACCACGGTCAGCTTATAACAACAGGAGGCAAGACAAAACTAATTTGAATGAAAAGCTCAAGGAAGCCTTAGAAACATACATGAGCTGTGATCATCTTCCTCTGCCTTTGGGGATCAGGGTATTCATCCCCAAAACACAACACAATCTGGAACCTGGGCACCGAGCGTCCATGGTGAGCATAGCCTTGGAGCTCTAGGGAAAGAAAAAGAGCGTTTTAATAATCCTTACATTCAAAGCACCCCCATTAAACACATTGACCTGCCTACGGTTCTCACAACGTGACATCCCCTTCAAGTAAAGGAAAGAGCTAAGTACGATTTGAACCAGGGCTTAGGACAAGCAGATATACAAGATACTTCAGAGCTTCAAGTACACCTGAGTCAACATCTTTTGAAAATTTATAGTGATGAAACTGATTAAATCTTTGTTGTTGATAAAGTAGGGAATAACTGACCACACTGAATGGTTTACACAGCTGATTCCTTTTGTGTCCTTTTCACAGAACAGGTTTTGTGCAAAATGAGGAACTGTTGAATTTAAAATCTTCTGTTCACGCTAGCATCCAGTAGTGTGATAGTAACACTATCTCTTCAGCGCAGAAGTGTACAGAGCCCATGAAAGCACGCAAGACACAGTCTCGAACAAAATGGCTGGAAAGGCCCAGTGGAAAACAGCATTGAGCCTAGTCTGTAAGCACCAAGAGAAGAACTTGAAGTGATTATCTGCTAGAGGCTAGAGAGGGGGATGAGAGCAGGCTGTTGAAGTGGAAAGGCCAGTGGTAAAAAGAAGTGTTTGACTTATTCAGGTGCGCACTGACACTAAAGCTCCATTGTCCTAGACGTTTCCAAGATGAAATGCATTTATCTTCAGGTTGAAAAGGCAGGACTTTTAAACAATTCCCTGTAAATAAAAGTCAAATGTCATCATGTTCCTAAGCTTGTAGATGCCTTTCCGGCCTTTTTGCAAGGGCAGGGACCCCTGATTATCTACAGAGGTGGGTTCTTTATTTTGTCTCACTGCTGTAAGCCAGACTTGCCTTTAACATGTAAAGCACATGTTTAACTGTGCAGTTACTGAGAGAAAGAATCTCTTAAAACCAGACACTAGTTTTGGGAGGTATGTCAATCAAATTGACAGTCATGAGGAAAACACTTGCAATGTTTAAAATTGCCCTAATTTAATTTAATATCTCCTAAATGTTACAAAGGATGTTCCGAGTAAGTACCACTTGTGCTCCTGGTTCATCGCTTAGCTGCGATGACCTAGATGGGCCAAATGTTTGAGCTTCCTTATGTTTGAAAACCTTCTTTGTTCTTCATCTGGGCATGTGTGTGCAGTGGCTCCCACAATCCCTTTCATACCCAACACAAAATCCCCACTGTAAGGCAATAGGCTCTGAGCTTCAGAAGGTCCTTTTTTGAAAAATAAGGAAAATATATCTTATTGACGGGACTCAGTCCTAACCGTGGTCTAGTGAGTAACTGTAATGTGTGAAATTTGACAGCTGAAAGGATTTGGCTATTTTTAGGATGTAAACTCCTAGGTCCGGAGTTTGAAGGCTCGAAACAGTGCTGATGCGCCGATCGGGGGGCAGCGAGGAGAGACGGACACGTACCCGCGAGGAACTGCTGTGTATCGAAGAGCTTGCAGGTGTGGTCCTTCTCCAGTTTGTTGGGCTTATCGCTGTAGGGGGCCAGCGGGCCTTCCCAGAAGATCCTGCTCTGGCACAGTCTCTTAGCGTAGAGCCCGTCAGGTGCCATCCACAGCAGCACGCCCCTCTCCAGGGCGTTGGGCACCTTCTCCACGCCTTTCCTCTGGGACTGGGGGAAGGGGTACGGGAAGATGACCTGATCTATGTTGCTGTGGCCGTACAGCTTGTCGTCGATGCTCGAGGAGGAGGATATCCTGCAGCCCTCGGGACTCGTCGTTGTCACTTCCTTGACAAGGGACTCTCGGTAGTACAAGCAAATGTGTAGCCGGCAATCTAAGAGGAAGAATCACAAGACGGGTCACCTTTACTATTTTATTGCTACGATCTGTCAGCAATCAATAAGACCTCCGTGCAGTGTAGTGTTTCTGGAAACTTCTTCTTCTCTACATATTAAGCTCTTTCGAAAAACATTGTGACAGGCAATAAGAGAGAAGAAGAAGAGTTCATTTAAATATATCTCAAATGCATCTGTTTCGACCCTATGCTTGAAGGTGTCATACAGTGAAAGCAGTGTAACCCCAGCTAGCCTTCTGTTTGATTTTAGCAATGACGTACTGCAGCACTGATGTGTCATTAAAAGCCCTGCGAAGAAAAAGTCAATAAAGAAACAGCTGCATTAAACCATCCACAATGTCACAGTGGGGCAAATCTGCTAAGCATTAATTGCCAGCAAACTTTTAAACTGTTATCATTGTGTGCAGGCTTAGAGCTTCTGGTGAAAAATAAATAAATAGTAATGTTAAATGAGGAAGTCATCATACAACACTACTGTTGTACACTGTGTGATACAATAATGTACTATGCCTTTGACACCATTTAACAGTACGGTCTATTGTACTGCACTACAGTATATCTTAGTGAAATATTAAAGGAAGTTGTAACCTTGGCAAATTAGCATACGTATCTTAGGTGTAATGCATTAGCAACAGACTGTGCTGTATTCTCAAATACCACAGAAGTTATGTTAATATGTACAGCACTTCGAAGAAGACACATCAATTTCCTATCGGTAATGAGGAATTTTCTGACGCTCTGTAGATATTTTAGGTGTTTTTTGGGACGATATTTAGAAAATCTTGTTGAAGATGATCCCCAGTCTACACACTGGGTGTCAGCTGGAGTGCAGTCTTTTTCATAAATATGTACAGGTATGTCCGTCATCAATGATAAATGGGCTATCAATAATCCCAACATATACTTGGGAACCCACCCAAGCAATTTTTCTTTTTTAATATATACTACATATAATTTTGAAAAATAAAGCTATCCTATAAGAGAGACAGCTCTTCTATTCAGAAGTGTTCTATTCAGTAGTGTAGGACCATTCGCAGTCTCTGTTCTCATGATGTAAGATGCACATTTTCTACAACACTGAATGAAGTGACAGAAGCTTCTCACTGTGGTACATCTAAAAAAAAATCCCACACCACACATCACAGACAGTTCAGGGCGGTTTCACTCTCAAGATATTTCCATCCATTTAATTGTTGCAGAATTGATTGTAACCGGTCCCGGATTTGTGAGGTGTAGTTTTTCCTCCTGCATGTGTTAGTTGAGAGACAAAAGTTGCCAGGCCCCATTTATTGCGAAATCTGAATTTACGACACCACAAAATCACAGTGAGTTTTCCACAGATGAGTGTGGTGTCCAGGAGAGATACACTTACGCCCTGTGGAAATGTACAGTACTTTGTGAATGGAGGGGAGAGTTCTTTACCTGTGAGAGCTACTGCCTCTGCAGACCTCATGCTTGGATCAAGTGAAAACCCGGGTGGTTGAGAGTCAGTGGGTGAACAAGCATAAAATGATCCTGTTATCTGGTACCCTTGGGTAAATATGAGAAATTTTACATTTAGTATCCTTAAAACGTACATCCACTAATACCTTCTGTTATTTTCCAGCAGATACCAGAAGTAAAACTTTTTTTTTACCAGAATTCAATTATTCTAAATGATAACCCGAATATTTAATAAGATCAGGCACAATCACTTCCATTAGATGAGACGTCTAGCAAGGTCAAAACAAAGAAAAGGAAGCCACAGATGTACACATTTTTAACATGGTTTCTGCAAAAACGGTTTCTTCCTACAGGCAAGCAAATAATCCAAAAACCCCCTTTAATAACCATGGATCTTTCTTTGTTTAAAAGAGGCGTTTTAGGTCTTGCCATTCCAGTCCTGGAACACATGAGTCATTTATACCTTTACCTCTGCACGTTATCAGCATTAGTTCCTTAATTCTCTGGGGCTAATTAGTGGCAAAGCACACCTTCACAAAGACAGAATGGTAATGCTGAATAACAGTTCTTTATTGTATAGAGGGAACAGTTACTCATTAAATAACAACCTCAAAGTTTGGAGAAGTAGTTGCAATTAAAACTTTATCACAAATAAAAGCAAAAGTTCGTGCCTCACTTTTCTCATTTTTATCTTTGGCCCCCTTTCTATGAGTGGTTTAGAGAGGCAGCAGGGCTGCTATTCATCACTATAGTGAAATCTACTTACTGTATGTTGTGGTTTCACGCCCTCTCCCCAAGTTTTCATCAAACACGCACTGTAAGGGAAATATTGAGCTCTTACCATTTTCACAAGCAGCTCCTTGCCAAGAGAGGTTTCGTGTAGGATACGGGCACTGGCCATAGGGTATGTCAGGGTGGGGCTGCTCTTGAACATAGTCCCTCCAGTTGCGATCATGTGGGACCATGTAGTTGGGCACCTGAGGAACACAAAACCATGCTTCCCTTTAAGACGAGAACAGAAAAAGACTGCAGCATGGGCTGTAGCAGCATCTTAGACAGGAGCTGTTCTAGAGTCGTCCTCTTGTACACATCAGACTATCTGAAAGGCACTGATCACTGTATTAAAAAAAAACAAGCTAACTGTGTGATTTTTAATGTGCATGGACGTATTCATGAGGGATGCACAGTGTGTGCTACAGGGCTGGGAACTGCAAGATCAGATGTGGCCTTTGCCATCCTGACAGCACAAAGGAATAGCCAGAGAAGGCCAAGAAACATACGCATATGTCAGATGGGGTAGTGTAAGCCGGGAGTTTCCCAGGTTGGGGCAAAGGCCTGGACAGTTGTGCAGTAAGAACTGGCACCGTGTCCAGCTGGAACTTAACATCTGCGATTTCCACCGTGGAAGTGCAGAGCAAAATAAAGGCAGAATCTGGCCGAACAAGTCCCTGAGGGTGACCGTGTGTCCGTTCCAACAAGAAATACTGTATCTGCAGCTGGTGTTGTTCCCCCTCCCTGCAGAACTCATAAATACCTGTACTTCTTCTTATTCATTTCTTATGCCGTTCTCTAAATGCTGTTCTGTGCAGTACATACAAAAGATTCTGATTCCGCTGAGGGCTTGGGTCTATATCCTACTTTTGTATGAACAAAACATGAGATGCAGCTAAAAAGAATCCCAGGTATTACAGGGGTTTCACTGATGTATTGAGATGTACCAGAAAACTGAAAGATGATTATGGAGGTAATAAGGAGCTCTGTGCCTGCGCTGTTAAATTGCAGTGTAAATTGGCAAACAAAGCTGATCTTTATTTTCACCATATATACTTATTTGTAAAATTTGAAAATGATATCGTTTTGACTGCTAGACACTTTGATTGTGCTAAAATTCCAACAAAGTCCCTTAGGAATTCCGGACAGGGAAACCGGGATTTGTGCTGTGGGAAACTATTCATGTTGCACAGCCACTGAAATGCATCGGAACATTGCAACAAATCTCATTTGAACTTCATTACCAAACGATGAGGTTAAGGGGGTAGGGGGATTGCAGATTTGCAGCCTGTAAATGCACTGAAGAAATGTCCATACCTGAGAAAACTCAGGCTAGTGGAGCTACCTTTACTATGACCAAACAAACACTCCATCACACTGCTGCATCACGTTATTACAGCTACTTGAATAAAGAAAAATCCTCTTCCTCTTGGTGAGAGGGAGGCTACCTGGGTTTGCAGAGGAGGGTATGGAGGATGCATGGGGTAGCCCAGAGAGTTCATGTGTGTGTTTGCTTCCTCCATGTTGATCTGCTTTGCTCCTGCTTAAAAAACAATGAAAACAAGCCCTTGTTATTTAAAAACAAACTCCAGATATTTAACTTAAGCCTTCTTTTTAAAGGTGTTCTCCACCTGCATGCAATTCATTTTTCATTAATGCGATCCTAAAATAAAATATTAATATTTCATATTAAGGAAAATGTTTTTTTGGGAGGGGGGCAAGAACTAATTAGAATATCAAACACTTTTTTGACATTTCACAGCAATGCCTGAAGCAAAGGAAATGGCAGCAGAGCAATGTATCATAGCATTGTTCTTTGCTAAGATGTAGCCTCTTTTGCAAATCATTAGAATCTTCGCTTATATTTACTCTTTAAACACTAAAAGAGGAAAGAGAGTTTGCATTTGCTTCTTTGACATTAAATTGCAGATTGCACTGAAGTTAAAGTACACAGCACCTTTAAGTGCACTGCAAGATCCTCAGATCTGTACAAGGTGAGGTGTTTTTGGTATAGAAACTAGTTCAGCGTTTGCGCTGGAAGGGATTAATGAACATGTGCCCTCACTCAGAAGGAAACTGACTTAAAACATTCTCGTTTAAAAAAGAGCAACTCAAAACCATGATCTGAAGACTGAGCGCGTGTTGAGGAAAAAAAAAACTCTGAGTGCCAGTGTATTCATGAACTAAGCAGGCCACAACACCACATTGCTCAGTGACAGAGTGACAACAACAGAACAACAAAAAACAGATTTTTTCTCCAGGCGTTTGGTTATTTTGTCTTGAAAAGATCATTAAAAACTCTGAAAGAAAACAAAGTAAATTAAAGAAGAAAATCAAAATGGCATGCCTTTCTTTGTTCCTTCTGGGATTATTCTGTAGACCTTATAAGGGTCGGAAATGTCCAACTGACTTCTCTCCACCAGTTCCTCAAAGTCGTTGCTTTTGTTCAAGGCACATCGCAGTCGAGTTTTCCACGTTGGGGGGTCAGGCTTATCGATTCCCTCTCTGAACTTCCCCTTGAAAAGTGCCCAAGCCTAGCACAGCGAAGAACACACAAACACACTTTTTTTCAGGGATTTGTTCACAATACATTCTGCGTATTTGGCTAAATTGTGATACTCCAGCTGGAAGTGTGACTTTGAAGTCAACAGACCTTACGGATCGTCAAGTAAGTTTACTGGTTTTTAAAAAGGCATCCTGGATGCACAGTTTCTTCCTAATGTGCTGGTGTATGTGACAGTTTGAGACACTTACTGTATATTATTATTCTAACAGGCATTGCTGTCTTTTGTGTTGTTGCATTAAGAATAGCCATTTGTGAGAAAGCAAAAACATGGCCAGCCATAATGCTCAACAGCAAAAAAAGCCTTCAACACAGTGACAAGAAAGAGACATCAACAAAACAGACAAGCCCAAATGAAAATAAAAAGTGTGCTGTACCCTGGTTTTCGAAACTTTTTTAAATTACAATAAAATTGTCATTGCCCTTTAGAATGGTCATTACTGGGCTGGTGGTTTGCACCAATATTTGGAGGATTTTCAACACTTAAAAAGGTCAAAAAACTTTAAAATGGAAATTAATGTTTTTTTTTTCTTTTAAGAGAGGGTCTGTATAACACGTTTATAGTCAGTACACAGTATAAAACCTTACAGCATATGAATAATGAACATATCTCGTTAGGCCGATATGTTAATTATTCATATGCTATATCGATATCATTATGATTACTCAAACCTATTATTAGTCATAGGTCGGTAATAATGAAATCGCAATGTCTTCTAATTGAAGCTGATAGCATATACTGTATTCATATGACGTAAATACCATACAATGCAGTAGTGAACAACTCCACAGATGAAGGGATAAATCACTATGTAGGTAAATCAGTAGTCATCACTTCCCTATTAACTCAGCACATGCATTTCTATCTAGAAGAAGTCGTTATTAAATCGTTATCGCATACCTCCCCGGACTCTAAATCAGTCTCCTTTCAAAGATATGTCGTGCCTAACGCGTGCTTTGGGCTCCGAGTAAGCCGTGTTAACTCGGATCGATCGCGTGGTTTAAGGCGGTGATCGTAGCGTGCTTCGCTTGCACGGTCTGTACCTTGAAGAGCGCCGCATCCTCGTCTCGGTTGTAGTCTTGCTTGCCCGCGTGCTTCCAGGGGATCCTGAAAATGGTTTTCTCGTCATTCTCCCAAACCAATCCGGGGTACTTCCCGCTGTCAATCTGATCGATCAGCCACTGCCTAAGTTTCCCATTTCCACAGCTGACTGACATGCCGCAGTCACTGTCTATGTTCATGTCTGTCAAAACGCATGCAACAGAATGGGCATTACGGAGTCGTGGGGGACACGTTTCGCGGTAGGTGTGCAAAGGAGGCAGGAGTCCGCGAACAGTTAAAAAGTTAAAATGAGGGAGAGCTAAAGCCACTGAATAAAAAAAAAAACACAAAGCGAACGACAGGCATGCAGTAGGAATGAAGGCGGAGCTGATGAGACACAAAAACGAAATATTTCAGTGCACTCACAATTAGCAATTACCGTCGTAATCACTCGTTACAATCATCGCGAAGCAATGTACAAAATTAAATAATTAGAATTAAAAAATAATAATAATAGCAATATGAATGCCACTACGAATACACTGAATTGAATTCAAGCATCAAAGGGTTAATGAGGTGAAGCCTTTCCAAACCTAAACTGGCCACTTACCTTTGATACTCCTAGCAAGAGCTGTCACAGTGTCAGAGGGACCAAAACCCAGAATAAGGAACTTTTGTTTCTTAAATAGTTTATAGTTGAGGGGCGTCGCCAGCGGGGCGGAGCTCCAGCCAAGCTCAAGAAAGACGGGCTGTTCCCTGGAGAAGAGCCGCGCAGAGCGGGTTCTCTGAATCTTATCTAGTACCGTAAACGCCTGGGAAATCCCTGCAGATCGTGAGCAGAAGGGCCGAAGATGCTTAAAGAGCACAAACGCTCTTTACAGGTCAACAGACCTTGAAGATGCCCTTCTAAAAAAAAAAAACTGAGCACACTTACGATAATGTTTGATGTCTTGATATTGTTACTCATACCAACTACTCTCTCACTTTCTCAACGTGATACTACATAATAATAATAATAATACTACAATCTTTAATTTATTGTTTTTATTTAATAGGGGCATATGAAAGACCTATTCTAGTTCACATACTTTACAAGACATTTCTCTCTGTCGCCCATCAATCGGAACCCGAGTATTGTTAATAGGTCATAGACTCTCCACCGATAGGCTCCTCGACGGGGATAACAATCAAAAGTTATGCCACCTGAAACGCGATAACAGACTTTTAGTTGTAGCGCCGAGACAGGTTTTCTGCGGAGGATGAGTGAAGCTTCATTCATGTCACCTGCTGGACTATAGGAGGTCTCCCTCTACTGGTATGAGTCTGAATCAATTCTAATGCACCTGCTAACGCCGAGAAAAGTGAATATTTTCTTGGCTGAACTATTCTGCAATAATGCTATTTAGTTGTTATTTAGCATTTAGACCACTAAACTCCTTAGAGCTAATGCGTTTTCATTTATAATGCCTAATATCGCCCCCAAATGTTTTGCCCTACAACGCTCACAAAAATTATTTAAAATCTTCTTTTAAAATCCGCATAAAACGAGGAATTGGAAAGTGCATTGGATGAATGTTGCTGTATAATGTACAAAACTCTTCAGCCTTGTGAAAATGTCGTGAATTATGTTTATTGTTGGAGGAGAACATGACTAATGATCAGCACTACTGTACTTGCGCCTCCCGGTGGAACTTTGTGATAAAGACCCTTTTTCTGTTCTCACCTACATACGGTACAGCGGAGTGTATAAATCTGACAACACCCCGTTATTTCTGTAGTTCTGATCTGTGGCGCTGTGCCTGTTAATTTAATATGACCATATTGCTTCATAAAACGCGCTGCTCTCGTTTAAAGAAATTAGGAAACCTGTGGTAGCAAATACAGAGGACGTTTGAATACGTTTCGTGATGGTCATTACCGGCAGTCAGTCTGAATAGTACGGTATTTTAGCATACCTTGCTATTTCAACGAAATATTCCAGTTTCCCTTTACGAACCGCAACAATGCAATGACCCTAAATTCTTCCAAGAATAGTTTAAGCTTTATATAAAATGAGGTTGCAATAAAGGATAATCGTTTTGTTTCTTAAATAAAAACTCCTCTTAAACGCGGTTTTGTTTGCAAAGGTAAATAATCACGACGCACTGTAACGAATTACCACGCTGCTTTTTGCTAAACATCTGGGTAAACACAAGCCAATGTAAGTCTGTAAGAGCATTCATTACTAATGTGTGAAATCACAGCGAGTTACCGTTGCTCCGTTTTTCAATAAGCGTGTTGACTGGAAGAAATCGAAAAGTAGGCTGTTTGAACGGGACGGTTTGTCTTGACATGAGCCGGCAGACTGGCTCTTGACTGCAGCCTGTGCTTCACCCTCGCACATGTCCTGACCGGGCGCCCGGAGCCGCGCCGCTGCTCTCAGACCAGGCTGAAGTCGGAGTCACCGGCTTGTGAAAACCTTCCTTGCCAGACGTCTAATTATGTCGAGCTGGACCGCCTTCGCCAATGCAAAGTGCGGCTCACGAAACTTGAAAAATCAGATTTTCACTTCGAAGACCGGCAGATCTCAACGTTGCTGTCCTTTGTGCATTAGACGATTTTTGCAATCGTCTGCAAATTGCCTTTGGCCCCTTACCAAGTCAAAATCAAGTTTACTATGTGTGTTGTCGTGTTTTTGTCTTCTGTAACTGTTGTTCATTGTTCGTCTCTTTTTTCCTTTAAACTTTGCACTTACAATACGTGGTGTTTTCTCGTGTGTAGTGACTGTCCTGCGCCTGCAATTATTTAAAAAGACTCATTTTAAAGAAATATTTCTTATTGTTCTAATTGTTTAAATTCTATTGGAAGGGTGAATTAAAAAAATTAAAGATTCTCACCTACAGTAAATGCTGGTACGCAAGAATTATGTGGTTCGCACTTTTGTTTTTTTCTTATGGAGTCTATATGGTGTTTATGCAGTGCCTAGAGATGCACATTACACACAGGAGTTTGCGGTCTGGAATGGCCTCGGAGTCTAGCATTGCTGATCGACTCTTATTGGACACTTGAACCTGGCACACGTGGCGCAGTTCCCTGTGCTAAACTCTTATTTTACGATGGTGTTGTATGCTCCTGTAGTTCCCTTTGCACGAAGTCAGTGTTTTCCATCGTTCAGCTGAAAGAACAGAAGCCTTTGCTTCTCATGTTTCCAGTTCAGCTTTTTTAAATTTCAATAACTCATTTAAAAAGCTGGTAAAATTAATCATGTCCTGATAACGGCACCAAATATAGACGGATATTCAATTACAGCATATAGAATTCCTATTAATAAACATCAGGGTATTACAGCAGTAATAATCTGACTTTCGGTACACAAACTAAACCGACAAATGACTAAAATAAACACATTTTTATGCTATTTGTGCAGGTGACAATTTATACTGTTTTTTGTGTTTTTTGTATGTGACAGCTGGGTTCTTTAAGCAACGAATCATATACAGTAGTATGGTGTTGATGCGCCATCCGCTCACGTAATGGAGTGTACAGAATCGCATGCGGTGTTGTGAGTGTGTCGGCAATTTGTGTACAGTATGTGTGTTACACGCCTCAGACGACAGCTGTGGTGAACAGTACAGTACTAACAGAAAATAATCAACCTTTCTGCAGAAACACCTTGAAAAGTGCCTTCAGTTTTCTACAGTTTGGTCAGTCCTTTCTTACTGAACATTGAACCTTGTCGCTCCTGAATAAGACCAATAATTCGACTTACATCGTTACACAATCGCGGGAGTGACATGGATCGAGATAAGGTTGCTGCTAGAAAATAGAATACCATAATGAAATGTTTATGTATTTTTAGGGTTCTGAATTTTAAATTGCACATAATAAAACATTTTTCCCCAATCCTTCGCCAGAATTCTAGACATATTCAAAAGCAGTTTATCCTGTGATAAATTTTATAATCATGTATCTTCTCATTATATGTCTTTAAGGATGATTATAATGATTAATAATTGATTTTATCATTACTGTTTATCTTTTGTTTCTATTGGAAGTAAAGAGAATTAGCTTTTAAAAAGTAATGGAACAGTTTCCACAGGTATAAGGCAGGGGTCTTTACATACTGTATATTCCAGTGGAGCCTATTTTTTTAACATTTTGCTTTGCTTACTGGGGAAAAAATATGGAAAGATGGCTTTTTTAATTCTCTGCGATCAATAACAAATTACTTAATTGAGAGGAAACAAGTTAATGGAAAATACCAAAGATATGTTATGACCTTTATATCTTGTCATAATAACTACAGTATGTCATTAGGCTCTATCACTGCTTTCAAATATGGTTTTTAAATTCTAATATTCAGAGTATTTTCAAACATGTGTTAAAATCACTTCAAAATGTCTAGGTTTCCCATTAATATTGTACAATATATTCTGGACTCAGTGAAGAGGAACTAAAGGGTAAGTATTGAGGTATAGTAACCCAGTCATACTATATACTGTAGATAACATATAAAACACATTTTGATAATTTTCCCAGTTCATATTAAACGATTCAAAGCCATATGAATATTTTTTGCAAAATATATTATCACAAGTAAACATCCAGAATGCTCACTTTTAAAATGTGTTTTAAAATGTAATTATCACTTAAACTCTTTTAAACACTTGTCTTAAAAATCAAATGAAACACAAATTTCTACTGGATAACTTACGAAATATCAGTAGCAATACAAATCTTAGATGTATCACAGTTAACAGTTTTGTTTTTTGTAAAGTTGTTGTTTTCGCAAACCCCAATTAAAATGATATAAAGATGTCTACAATAAAGAAATCAGTATTCAGATTCAGATCTGTGAACATTCTGCTGCTTATTTATTATCGCTTTCGGAGAAATGAAATCTGTAAAAATATCTGTACTGTAATGTGTTTAACTCCCAACCTTCAGCATTAGACCTCAGTGACAGAAGACAGATGTCTTCACAAAACTTCACATGGAAAAATCTTGAAACTTATTCTGGTAGCTAACCTTAAAATATGCAAGAGTTACAGTATGTTTCCTGTATGCTTACAGTATATAGATAAAGTTTTGAAAGAAAAACAACTTATTTTGAAAGAATTTTACCATAAAATTAAAGTTCAACAAGGTGTGAGTCTTTGGAAAAGTACTTATGGATGTTATGCACTACAGTGCCATCAAAATGTTAATTATTCTTGAAAATGGAAATTTACTGTGTGATAAGATCCAACAAAAAAACAAATCTTAATGAGAAAAGAAGAAAATCTATGAATGTAATTTGTTTTCAAATTACAAATCTCACACACGTCTCTTTCAACAAAATAGAAAATGTGGTTCTGCATTTTTCCGATATTGCATTTATTTGTATTGGCTCAGTGCCGAAGCCAAAAATTAAACAGATACTTTCTTGCATCATACTTTTGCTAAGACACAGCTGATTCACACTTTCCATAAATGCGATGAACATCTGTCGGATCTATTTTTCCTTCACAGCTTTTGACCAAATGTCTGATTGAGACTTACGTGTTCATTGCAGCTGATTACATCTGCTTTGCTTTACCATCTATTGATATCATAGTGCTGTAACATGAGATTTGTTCCTACATATCGCAGTAGGAGTGGGCATTTGGCCAAAAGACAACAGTAAGATTGACACTTAAATCAGAAACTGTTAAGAAGAACAAAAAAAAAACGAATTATAGTATATCTACTACTGTATGTGCTTAGATCAGGAAAGATTTGATCTAGGCCGTGATCAACAGCACAACAAAAGAAGCCATATTCTTCCGTTGGATTGTTTACAGGCCCAGTATCTGTTTCAAAGCATTTATCTAATTATTAACCCAAACATTACGCTTTGCGTAAACATTGTTAAACATGTTAAATATAATGCATGGTGTTGAGATGGGCTTACCTTTGTGTTAACTGATTGTTATCCTTTTACACCAAATAAAGTATCAGATCTGGTTCAGAATTCGGTACACCACCGAGTGAAGAGGAACTACAGTACTTGATTATTAAGTATACCTCTGTATGACAGTTACTGCACAATTTATACAAATAGGCAGCTGGGAAGTCTCTTGGCAGCTGACTTTTTTAAAATGGCTATATTCTTTTACACTGCGATCAGTATGTGGTAGTGTGTTTTTTTTAATTCCTCTATGCTTGGTTACTCTTGTATGCCACATTAACAGGAAGGTTACTGGGGAGCCAGAGTTGAGGGGGCCGTGCCTCGGAATAAAAATGTCCTCGATGATTACCGCGTGATCGAACGCAACGACACGTGAGAGAGAGTAAATCGGAAAGTGGGAAAAGCACACTCAGAAATTCCCTCGCCCACTCAGCGATACTTGGCTTTTCAGAACTTGAATTTATTACAGCACTTGGGCCTTAAAAAAAAAGTGTAGAAACAAGACTCCTGTCGCCCTCCGCTCACTTATTTGGAGCTGCAGGGCCCCATAAAACTGATTGACATGACGTAAGGGAAACGTTTTGATTTTTCACGGATACGAGAAAGAGTGCTCCTGTCAATAGGGAAGCGTTTGTAAGCTGACAGTACAAGCAGTCGGGTTGTGTTGTAGATGATGAGGTACTGTGAATAAAATCCCTTTAAAGGTTCTCGAATCATTGCACTGATTACCAAGAATGGTTTCCTTTCAAAACGCTCTTAAAACTGCAGAATCACAAGTATTCTGTCACCAATGACAGGTGTTACATTGCCCAAGATTTGCAGGCCTTATTTGTGGTTAAGGTATCTGGTGAAGAAGGCCCCAAAGCCAAAATGTTACGTAATTATGTAAATCACTTTCTTTTTGCTTTTTAATGTGGAATTAACCTTTACCTGTTTAGATCCAACCGAGCTATTAATCACTGGTGATCAATGATTATTTTAGTGTCTCTTTGCCTGTTTTGACTATGGTTTGCCTGCTTCTGGACCCAATCATTAAAATTCAAAAGTGCCCCACTTCGAGTATAATGGTCCAGCAAGTTCAGCATGAACTACCTGATGCAGTCTTCCAGCAATTTGTTCGTTTAAAATGTGCTCCCAGATTTCTGGCTAAGCAATGATCAATAGGTAATAAGGGCAGGTGATCAGTGAAAGGTGAACAGATACAGGTAAGACAGTGATGTACCTGGCACTCCCACAATGAACTCTGTGCTCACTGGAGCTAGCATGCCACAATGAGGGCAGTTCTGAGCCTCCGAGACTAGTACTGGGTGGATATCAATAACAACATTTTGAAAGGTAATTTAAAAAAACATGTCTCAAATAGAAAATTGAAATCAAATTGCCTGTAATGAATAATATCGCCAGAGCAACACAAAACAGACACAGGGGACCCTGGACAGAGTCAGGAAGTCACAGCCATCACTTATACTGCTACTAAACTGAAGCAGACAGCCTCCTTAATTAATTAATTAGCAGTACTAAAAAG